CCCCCCCCCATGACTTCTGTACCTGGTTGGGGCCCTTGCCTCTGACCCAGCTCAATACCCTGGGTCCATCCTCCCAGTTAATCCAGGATTAGCCCTTTTCAATCTCCCTCATGGTTTTTAACAGCTCCCTCCCAGGTTCTTTCCAGAAACCACCCTACTGTGACTGCTTACCAGGTGCCTAGAAATTGTATTCCAGGAGTGTCAGGGCAAAGAAAGAAGCTGGGTAGGCAGGAGGACCCCTGAGTCCCAGACCAGCCACCACCACTCACTGTGACCTCTGATGAATGTCAGCCCCTCTCTAGACTTCACGTAAGGATTAGAAAGTCCTCAGGCTACCAGCATCAATATGGGGTGGGGTGGGGGTGCAGGGTGGGCCTGGGGGATCTGCACGTCAGACTGGTCAGATTGGGCCAAGTGGCTTTACTTTCCAAAGGTGGAAAAGGTCCTCAGAGAATTATCTGGGCCCCTCCTGGCTCTGATGCTCTGAAATTCTCCTAGTCTTGGGAGGATTAAAGGAGGGGGTAGGGGTCAGCCTATGGCTCAGAGGAGGATAGCAGATAAAAGGGAATCTTAGCAGAAGGGGCTAGGGGCTCCTGGCTGGCTCAGTTCAAAGAGCTTGCAACTCTCCATCTCTGGACTCTTGATCTCTGGGGTGTGAGTTCAAGCCCCACACTGGGTGCAGAGATCACTTAAATAAACATTTTTTTTTTTTTTAACGTTTATTTATTTTTGAGACAGAGAGAGACAAAGCATGAACGGGGGAGGGTCAGAGAGAGGGAGACACAGAATCTGAAACAGGCTCCAGGCTCTGAGCTGTCAGCACAGAGCCCGACGCGGGGCTCGAACTCACGGACCGCGAGATCATGACCTGAGCCAAAGTCGGATGCATAAACGACTGAGCTGCCCAGGCGCCCCTAAATAAATCATTCTCAGAAAAAGAAAAGGGGGGGAGGGGGCTATGGAGTGGGGGGCTGTGTCTTCAGAATGAGGAAGGGAAAAGCTCTAGGCTCCTCCTCCCCACCCCCCAGGCCGAAGATGTTTGGCGTCTCAAGTCTGGCTGGCATTGTGGACACCAGCCGTCAGAACAGCACCCACCAGACCTGCTCAGCAGCTAATGGGGCCATTCTGGCTGCAGCTTCTGAAAACTGGCCGCTGGACTTCCCTGAAATGACGTTTTCCTGAATGGTAAAGGGACAGACTGTCTTGGCAGTGAGCACGGGGACATGAGCTCAGCCTGTGGGAGCCTTGGGCCCAAGGCATGTTTTCTGGGCCACGGCATTGAGAATAGCGGCTTGGTGTCGATTCCTGAGGGCCAGGAGAGGGTGGCTAGGCTCCTGAGAATGGAGAAGAGGTTCTGAGGAGCTAGGCTGGGGGAGCAGGGCAGGCGGAAGACAGAACCATGCAGGAGATACAGGTGAGACGGAGCTCACGTGAGGCAGGGCGCATTCCCCACTGTCCTGGCCCCATGTGATGCAGTGGCCCGAAAATACAGACACTGACCGTGTGCCAAGAGCATAATAAGGGTCCGATCCTGCTGGGCTAGCAGCTTCCCTGGGAACCCCCACCAAAGGCTTGTGGTGGAGCTCAGGGAGGCAGACCGGGTCTCAGTTCAGGCCTGGGCCCTGCGTTCCCCATCCTTAATTTGGGGATAACATAAATACCTCCCGTAAGGAGGAAGCTCGGTGCTTTACCTCTGATGAAGAGCTTGGCACAGGGCCTGGCATTTACTAAGTACCTACCAGCTGTTCACCAGAAGTTAGCAGGGGCTGTTCTGGGTGGAATGTGAGGATATTTTTATTTTATTGTTGAACTTCCCCCAGTTTTCCAAACTGCTGTTGTAATCAGAGGAAAGACTACCACTGAGGTTTGGAGCCTAGAGCCCGAGGGCGATGGGAGGAGGAGGGGATGGACCTCCCAAGATTTGTTCATTCATTCTGCTCAGGCTTTGGGAACTGGGTTTGCATTGTGGTTTTTCCCAAAAGCTAACCAGCTCCAGATGCAACACTCCTCTTTCTGGGGTCGCTGGGCGGCCCCAAGGCTGGATGGGGGAGCGGGGGTTGGGAGGTGCCAGACCAGACAGGAGGGGAAAACACCTCCACCCTGGCGATACAGGAGGGTCTCCGAAGGGATCACAGCCCACCAAGCAGCAGCTAAGGCCTCATCGCTAAGATCCAATGGCCTTTCTTCTTCACCAAAAGCCCCCTGCCCTGGGTCCCCAGGTCAGCCCAGCGCAAGCCTCACTGGTCCAGGTGGACAGTATCAGTTATTGGGCACTAAAAGCCAGGCCCTCTGTTCAAAACTCCACCTGCCACATAATTGTCACCAGTAAGCCTCAGAACAGTCCTGCAAGGTTGCCAACGCTAGTCTGATTTTACAAACGAGGACTCTGTGGCCCCACGTCGGATAAATGGCAGAGCTACGATTTGAAGGCAGCTCCGCCCTTGACCCCTGCCCCTTCAGCAGGCTCCCAAGGGGCCAGGAGCCGGTCAGGTTCTCTGCAGTGACTGGCCGCCCCACCTCTGAGGAGCCCAGGGGAATGGCTGTTAGGAATTACAAGGGTCCCTGTGAGAGCACAGAGTGGAAACGCCCATTGCATAGATGGGGGTATGGAGGCCCTGGGAGGGAAGGGATTGGTCTGGCTTTGTGCAGGGATAACAGAGCTGGGACAAGGATGGAGAGTATTCCAGTGCCCCCACGCCTTCCCCCGCCAAAGCTCACGAAGGTCCAAACCACAGGCGACTGGGCGGCCGTGGGATCCCCGGCCTGGGCCAACCAGACATGCAACAGACGCTGCCTCCACCTTGCGGTCTCCCCCAGCAGGGAGAGGGGCGGTGAACCACCTTCTAGGTGCCCATCGGTGGC